TCTTAAACGTCCACTGTCCTGAGGCTTATCCCAGCCCGAAATAGCTCAACGTTTATCTTTAAAGGGTTCAAGAACATTGAAAGCTCATTTAAAATTATTTACTTAATAATTCATACCCTGTCTGGAAGTTTGTTTAGGCCTCGGACCCGAATCCCTCGGGTACGTAGAAAGGGAAATTTTAATTGAATTACTGAACTCGATGCGTTCACTTTTGGGTAACCAAGCAAAAAAAATGATACTTCTTAGCATAAATTCATTTTGAAAGTGGTCTGTAAAAACTTAACTGGACTATTTCTGATAAAACCAATTTATTGTCTTACCAGTTTGTTCATATTTCACTCGATTTTTGACCACACAAATTGGCCACCCAATCCGTTTGCAAATTGTTCGCTAATTTCTCGGACACGACATGCGGTGGATTATGGCTATTGGAGGTGTACCTCCCCCCCCAAAAAAAGAGAAGAAAATTCACCCCAGTTGTCTGGTGACAATTTTGCCCGGCTTTTGGCCAAAAGCGACCGAATCTGGGCCAACTAACTGGCCGCATTTTGCTTTTGCTGCCTTTGCTTTTCCGCTTTCACTTTGCAATTAAAACGCGACAAACACAAATGGAAAAACAATGTTCTACGAACTGCGGGGCATTAAGCGGCGCCGATATATTCGTGTGTATGTGTAAACGGTGGGCGGTCTTGTGGCAGGATGGGTGTGGCTCGGATGGGGGAAGGATAGTATATACTAGCCGCAAGCATTTTCATTTGCATTTGGAATGGATTGTTGGATGTGAAATGCAAAGGAACCAAAACCGAAGAGCATAACTGAAACAATAAAAATTAATAACAGAAGTTTGCCGGCCTCGGTGGGAACAATTATATTTTGGCCAACTGGGAAATGCCTGGCTAAGTGGCTCAGCGGGCAAAGAGAATTCGGTAGTTGTTGAGCAGAGAGGCTTTTATCTTTTCAATAATTTCATTTTTGCAGTGCCCTGGGTAATTCATTGAAAGGGAGTATGGTAATGGTTCTAATAACTTCAAGACTATGAACATAAAGGTCGGGTTAAATGAAATTCCTTTTGTGTGTTTTTTGTACTAAATGTTAACTGTTTTAGTAAATTAATATGCATTTTTCTCCGTTAATTTTCACATACTTCTTTAATCAAGATTTAATTACAACTTCATTCCAACAAGCACCAACAAATAACCGCAAAATGTCTGTTCCTTACGCAGAAAAAAAGCAACTTTTTTTTGTGTCAAACACGCAGTGAAAAAGTTAATATGAGAAAATATTCTTGTTGCCAAGTTTTTGCGCACATTACCAAGAAGTCGGAATTTATGCATGTCAAGGCCAAATTATGATAATGTGTTCCTTCCACCCATTTCAAGTATATACATATTGGAGAGCTTTTGTTGGTCCGAAGGAAACATATTGAAATTCTCAGACAAACCAATTGTCAAATTAGTTGCTCCTCGGCATAGATTGGCTGCCAAAGTCAAATTTATGTTACATACGCATGACCCCATGGAGACTGATAAGAAAAGATAAGTACAAAAAAAGGGCGGGGAATTCAAGCAATAAATTGTCAAGGTTTTTTGTATGCAAAGAGTATGAGAATTTTAATTGCGTATACGCCATGTGGTATGGTTTTGACCAAGGCCCTGAACCTAAATCATTTTGTGTGTGTGTTAGGGTTTAAGTTAGGGAAGGAGGGGTGTGCCATTAAGCAAAAGTGTCAAAGGCTGTGGCAGCGATAAAAACCGTTTTCCCAGCAATTTATTTATGTCGATTTCCATTTCCATTTTGTTTTATTTCATTTCATTTTGCGTTTTATTTACCCAGCTAGTCGGGCCTCGCCCTAGAAATGCGATTTGGACACGCACCATTTGCCGGCATTGCCTTCTTGGCCATCTTTCCCTTTTTTTAGAGGCCATGTATATAATTTTTTTCACTTATCGCCCTATGGATATTCCCAGACGTTACGGTTAGACTTTAGTTTGTCCCATAAATTAAATGCAATTAAATTGGTTTGAGCGATAAACTCCAAGGAGGTGGAGGGATATATATACTTGTTATGTCAAACGTAAGTATCTTGAAAATTTTACGAGAAAGCCGGATGAACAGCTGACTTTTTGGCGGCTTTTCCAGGCAGAGAGACTGGAAAATAAGGCCGGAGAGCGGCTAAGAGAGCGGCAGGATATTCGGAGTAAGAGCGCAACAGGATACTGTTAGCGAAATGTTAAAAGTATGTGAATAGTGAATAGAAAAAGGATAACAAGAAAATTATGACTGGGAAGTTAGAGCATTAATCATAAATTAAATTATCTTATTAACAAAATTTATAATATTCTATACTTTTTTGTTGAAATGATTTGTATATGATGCCCTTTTTCCTTTAAAGACCTCATTGTACACATTTCTCTAGCTTCAATTTGTCAACCCAATTAATATGTATATATGTTTTTTAAAAATATCCCTATTGGTCCAACAAGAGTGAAATGTTTGACAATCTGTCCTGGTGTTGAAAAGGGTTCGGATCGGGAAAAAGTTACTTTGTCCCTTTCACAGGATGAGCTAATGGGATTCTACCGGAGACAAAACGAATCTGACAGCTTGTATCACCAGATGTTGGACGGAGTGCCATGAACGAGGGTATTGGATTTTAATTTTTAATTAGTTTTGTCTACGACATGACTAATTCGTATGCGAAGTGTTGACAATTAATTAAAAATAAATTACTTTTCATCCAATTTGGAGGAATAAAATGTTTGTTGGTGGGAAATTTGCACCTTTAAATACAAGAAGAAATCAATTCTCATTTATAAATTGCATTAACCTCTAACATAACAATTATTTAAAACAAAAGCCCCATTTAGACTTCATTATCTAGTGGGTCTTTATGCTGTAATAATCTTAGCTCACCAAAAGGCCAACAGCGGTTTCCTTGTCCTTTGAGGCAATGCCTCACAATTAGATGACGAGGATAACCAGGACACTTATGCAGCTCGTCCACACCTCCGCATAATCCCATTCCGCATACTCATTATGGCCGCAGAGTGCCACCACTGGGTTGTGGGACACGTGTCTCTGGCCTTGTCTGTTCTATAATTACGCATAAAGCTGCTCTGCTTGACTTCTCTCAGGTGGGCCACTGCCTGGAGACCACCACCCCTCCTGCAGAGTGGCATAACCAAAAAGTTTATATAAAACTCACGATGATGACGACGACGACGTCTGCGAAAACGAATGAAAATGGAAACAAGAGTTTCTGTTTCTGTATCTTCGTCTGTGGCAGGTACCACCACCCGCCCACTGTCAGGAATTTGTAGAAACTGTTTAACAAAGTGGACAATTATTACACAGGCTTTAGCATTGGACATTAGAGTACTTTATTCTTTAAATTAGTGCTATAATTTCTATAGATAGAAAGGTTACCTAAAAATAGACATTGAGGTAACTTGAGTAAGAATCCTATCTTATTAACCAAGATATCGTATATAATCACTTGTTGTCGGGTGTAATAATAAAAGATGTGTCAGAGTGACGTTGGTTGCCTGGACCCGAAGCGTAAGATGCCACAAGTAGAATCTGCCGACAATAGAATTTTGCAATCCACGCCTGACGTCTGTCACTCTGCCACCGAGCTGGCCAGATAAGGGTATAATTAATTTCATTGAGCCTCAGTGGCATTCAAAGAAGTGCACATAATTGTCCTTCCGGGGACAGTCAGGTAAATATTTTAGCCCGGCAAATTGTTTCCCGGTTGCAATTGTCGCTATTGCCAATTGAGTCAGAGCCAGTGCCAGATTAAACGAATAAAATGAAATGCGCTGTCAAATGAAACAGAAATTCTGTTTGCGCTCGGCCCATGGTAACCGTTTTAATTGTCAATCTTCCATCGGTGTACCCACCGTTAACGATATATCTGCATACATATATTATATATATATTTTTTTTTTGGGGAGCACCAACTGAAAAGTCAAAGGAATGAAAAATTCTCAATTTTTTATGACAGAACCAATTGTTTGGGTTGGCGGGCCATCATTTATTTGATTACGCCTGGTCAAGTCAAGTTTCCATCTCCGTTTATATATTTTTTTATGGATGTGGAATTTTTTCAGTGGGTTGAATGCTTGTTGAATGCTGAAATCGAATACATAATTTAAAATACCCTCGTATAGCAGCATAAATATTTAACTTCCACCGAATTGAATTGATGGCGAAAAAAAGGCGAGGCAGTGAAGAGGAATCGCGCATCAATTTCGGACTGTCAATGCAATTTAAGAGATCCCCACAGTCACGGTGGAAATTCGGTTGAAATTAAATTCACACTTTGCTCTATAGAGCAAAAACTTGTAATGTCCTTGGCCAATTTTCGACGCTGCATAGCTAATGGGGCAACAGCTGCGCTGTGCCTGCTGCCTTTCTAACTGAACAAAAGGGGCCACGGCACTTTGTTTGAGGTTGAGGAGGAGGTCAGGGGCGGGCACTGAAGGGTGCACAGGAACTGAATGGATACCGCCGCCCCCATCCAACTGGAGTGCCGACTGGTGCATTGTGTGTGCCAGGATCCAGGCCATAAAGTTAAGCCTAACCAGGCCAAAACTAATCGCGTTTTGTGGCCCGCCAGAGTTCGCTGAATGCTAAATTAATTTATAATAAGCGCACCTTGATGCCTGATTAAATGGCTGCTCACAAGCCAAGTCCTTAACGCCTCCACTTGTCAGGATAAGACTTCTTTATAATAAGCTTTAAGTGTATAAATATTAAGAGGAAACTTTAGGTAATAAATGCATTTTTTTTATTTTTTTTTTAAATGTTCACATTTTTGTAAAAAAGTTTTTTGAAAATTAGACGAAGCTTTCGATCGTACGCACGCGTACTCTTCCTTCCCTGGCGCGTCCTTGGCGGGCGCGTCCTCCACGGTAACCTCCTCTTGATCTGCGAGCCCTGCGGCCACCTCTTATGTGGGAATAGGTTTTTCTTCCACCCCCCCATCTTCTTATTACGAAACGGCGGCGATGCTTCAGCTTTTTTGTGGATTTGGATGTGGAGGTGGAGTTTGAGCTTGTGTTTGTGGTGGCCGTCGAAGCTGCTGTGGTTGCTGGCGTTGTAGGAGTCGCAGCAGTGGTAGCCGTCGATGGCGGAGTCGGGGAGGCTGGAGTTGGCGAGGCTGGCGAGGACGGGGTCGGTGAAGCCGGAGGAGTTGCCGGCGAGGATGGTGATGGGGGTGTGGCCTGTCCTGGCACACCCAGGATCATGGCCAAGAGGCACAAAAAGCACAGAGAAAACTTGGATCGCATCTTCAGCTTTGTTTCACACAGAAGAACTGTAAGCCAAACACCTGAGGCTTGCTTTTTATAGCCAGAATTGTTTGTTCTAATTTGCGGATTTTCTATTTGGATTGTCTTTATTATTTTAGAAGACATGTGTTTCTCTTCTTTGCAAATTTACTTCGCAAATTCATGAAAGCTTCAAATAATTAAATTTTTTATAATTAGTATTCCTTTATGTTTATATTTATAAATAAAATTGTATTTATTTGTCATTTAATGAATTTCTTTATTGCATTTTATGTACAAATGATGTTTTTTTGCATGTAGTACTATGTAATTAAAATTTATAGACATAAAATAAAATGAAAAAAAAAATTTAAATATTATATTATATAAATATTATATTTAAAAGAATAAAAATTGTTTTACTGAAAATATAAGTTTACAAAACGTATACTACTTAAGATCTAAGCACTGGAATCATAGGCCTTCGGCTGAAATTAATTAATAATTAATTGAATAATTCATTTATATTATTTCTAGAGAATGTCAATTAGAGAAAAATTATAATACGTTGTTTAAAGATGCTTAAATAAATGAATATGTTTTCATTTCTTTTAAATTGGCGCTTTCGACCAAACAGACGGACTTTATTTTGCGATTTCAAATATATTTTTTGTAGCATATATTTAGGCTTAAAATTTTGTTTCAGAATTAAAGCTTTGGCAGCTGTAGATTAATATACTCTTTCTGAGGGTATATAATATATTTTATTAAATTTACATAAATTATTATGTATGCGTTATGATAGATTATTAACATAAGTGTAGTTTCAATTATTGTGTTATAACTTCATCTTAAAAAAGAAACGTAAATTATTGAACAGGACCGTTCCTTAGTCGATATAAGATCCTTCGTTTATTTTCCTGTCTATTTGAAGTATTTACATATTTTTTAAGATTACATATCTAGTACTAGATAAGTCAAGAGTCAAGTAAGAAAAGTGAGATTTGATTGTTGAAATAATTCAGATTTTGTAAACCTGTGTTAAAGGTAAAAAAGTATTCAAATAACATCATTAAGATACTTACATTTATGAACAGATAATTATTTGAATCATTATCAATTATTTGAATTGGTTTATGGTGTTCATTCTTCGATCCCTGGTTAGAAGTTAATTAGTCGACTTTAGCATATCGCTGCCAAATCCTATAACTAAACTTATTGTTTTATAATTTGCCTCATATTGGTCTGTCTACTAGTTTATACACTATATTAAAATCTTTAACAAATTTCTTAATTATCTTACTGCTAAAAAAAGAAATGCAAAAAATTTATGCAAAATCAAATATGTATTTATTGTTTAGCATTATTTTAATTATTAAATTTGGTGTCTAGGAAACTGGTGGTTAACCGCGGCGGTTCCTTCGGTTGTTGGATCTCCTTTCGCGCCTCCTGTTACCCTGACGTCTTTCGCGGCGCTCCTCCCTGCGCTCCTGCCTACGCTCCTTACGTTCCTGGCGTTCCTTGCGTTCCCTACGTTCCTTACGGCGCTCCTTGCGTTTCTCGGCGGCAGTAGAGGACGAAGAGGACGTGTCGGAGGAGGTCGAGGAGGAGGAAGGAGTGGAGGATGTGGAGGCGGGTGTGGAATCAGAAGACGTTGTACTGGAGCTGGAGGGCGTCGAGGATGAAGACGGTGTAGACGTGGAAGACGAAGGAGTTGAGGATGAGGAAGACGATGGGGTTGAGCTTGAGCTTGAGCTTGGAGTCGAAGAAGAACTTGAACTTGGGGTTGATGTTGAACTGGAACTTGAGCTTGGAGTTGAAGTTGAACTGGAACTTGAAGACGTGTCTGACGAAGATGAAGGAGTCGTGGCACCGGGCACCCCAACAACCAACAGAGCCGTGAGGCACAAAGCCAAAAGTATCTTGAAATTCATCTTGTTTAGTGGAGTTTGGAAAACTGTGATTATTCTACAGTCAGCTCCGAGTTTTATAGGAAAATCGGCGAAATCTGTGTTTGCTTACCTTTCTCGTATTATTTGTCTGCACACAAGTTACAGGTGTCTAAAGCAAATATAGTTTAGGTCTGGCATGTTTTGTGGAAAAGTTCCGAAACTTATAATTCAAATTCAGTGATTAAAAGTTATTAAAGATAACATTCATTGAGGAATACTTACTTTTTGACAGAAATTGATATTTAATTATGTAGTGGTTGTTTTTATTCGATCAAATCCGTTTTCTGGTAAGAACGTCAGGCCATAACTAAACCATTGGAAAAGTCATGAATCTCGTATATTTTTAAGTAAAATCTGCAGGATTGTTTGCTTGGAATTGGGGCTTTGTAGTTTTAATTTACGATTTACGATCGATAATTTACGATGAATATATTAAATATCTATGTAACTTATGGCAAGTTTGTTTGACCCTTATAAGACTGTCCATTTCAGAAGAAATTCAGGCGTGTCCCAAAATACTCCTGTCATTGGGTCATTTTAAAAACACCGACAATCTTGACAGTGTTTTGCCTAAAATTAATTATGAAACTGCACTTGTATGGGAAAAGTTCGGTTGATCCATAACGAAAGTTGAATGTGTGACTCAACTACGATCTAAAAATTAAATATTCAGTGGATTTCATTGGTTAAATGTGGACTTTTGTGAAACCCTTTTTAAGGTGATTTACGGTGATTGCCACTTTTTTTTTTTATCCGAATTCGGAGTAAAAGTAAGTTAAATAAAAGGTATTGTGTGAAGTTCCAACTTAATCTGCTTTATTATACATTGCATTTTTCAATGGATTACATTTTAATTAATGTATTTCTCTATTAGTTACTACAAATAAAAAACTAAATTTTATTGACTTAATAAAAAAATATATTTGTATAATTAACATATTATATTATGTTATATTGTATTATATAACAATTATATTTATATAAAATAAATTTTTGATTATGAAATCTGGCAGCTTTAAAAACGTACACCTCAACGATTTTTCTCTAGGCTAAACCACTCGGAATTTTATGCCGATGCGAACCTTTTTGAGAGATTTGGATCTTGACTTTTCACCAGATCACTGGTGTTTCCTGAGTACCCCCTATCTGAATTATAAAATTCCTAAAAAATTTAATACCAAAGAGTTATGCATATATGAATATATCTTTATTATTTTTCATTTTATTTTTTCAATTTTTAAATTCGGGGTCTAGAGGATCTAGTGCTTAACCGCGGCGGTTCCTTCGGTTGTTGGCCTTCCTTTCGCGCTTCCTTTGAGCCTGGCGTCTTTCGCGGCGCTCCTGCCTGCGCTCCTTACGTGCCTTGCGTTCCCTACGTTCCTTACGGCGCTCCTTTCGTTTCTCGGCGGCACTAGAGGACGAAGAGGACGTGTCGGAGGAGGTCGAGGAGGAGGAAGGAGTGGAGGATGTGGAGGCAGGTGTGGAATCAGAAGACGTTGTACTGGAGCTAGAAGGTGTCGAGGATGTAGACGGTGTAGACGTGGAAGACGAAGGAGTTGAGGATGAGGAAGACGATGGGGTTGAGCTTGAGCTTGAGCTTGGAGTCGAAGAAGAACTTGAACTTGGGGTTGAAGTTGAACTGGAACTTGAGCTGGGAGTTGAACTTGAACTGGAACTTGAAGACGTGTCTGACGATGAAGACGCAGGAGTCGAGGCACCGGGCACCCCAACAACCAAAAGAGCCGTGAGACACAAAGCCAAAAGTATCTTGAAATTCATCTTGTTTAGTGGAGTTTTGTAAACTGTGACTATTCTGCTGTCAGCTTCGGGTTTTATAGGAAAAGTCGGTGCTATCTAATGGCGGAATCTGTGTTTGCTTATCTCTCTCTTATTTGTCTCCAGACAATTGTCAGGTGTCTAAAGCAAATATAGTTTAGGTCTGACAGGTTTTTTGGAAAAGTTACGAAACTTGTGATTAAAATTCATTGATTAAAAATCATAAAAGAATACATTCATCCAGTAGTGTTATGTAACGTTTATGTTTATTCGATCAAAGCCGTTCTTGGGTAAGAACGTCGTATAGGGGTCGGCCATATACTATAGCTGCCATATCCCATAACTCCACCATTGGAAATGTAATGAGTTCGCATTTTTTTCAGGTAAAATGTTCAATATTTTAGCTTGGATTTTGGGGCTTTGTTGTTTTTTATTTACGATTAATCTATTAAATTGTATCTAACTTATTGCGCATTAGTTGGATACTTATAAGACTGTCAACTAGACACTTTTGAAATTTTGCCGAATTTCTAGCTAAAGTCCTTCAAGATATTCAGATATACACGTCTGTTGTGAGGGATTTCAAATATATCGACAATCTTGCCAGTGTTTTTTTTCTTAAAATCAATAAAGAAACTCCAGTTGTATGAGAAAAGCTCTGTTAACCCGTAAGATGAGTTGAATTTGTGACTTAATTACGATCTAAAAATAAAATATTCCGTGTATTTATTTGCTAAAATGTGGATACCACAGAGATATCGCTTTCCTCCTATACAGTAGGCCAAATCCCTTCAGTTTTTAAGATTATTTTAATTTACGGTGTACCACGTTTTTTATTCAAATTCGGAATAAAACCTTAAAAATAAAAAGAATTGTATGAAGTTAAAATTTATCCTTATTATGTATTTAATTTTTTAATGGATTGCATTTTTCAAATAGATTTTTCTTCATTATTTACTAAAAATTAAAAACAAAAAAAAAATATTTTTTATTTATATCCCTATGGTTTTTTATCTAAGCTATGCGACTCGGAATACGACTGTTTTCGTGATTTGGAGCTTGAAATTTCACCAAATCACTAGCTTTTTCTGTGGCACCCCTGATCTAATAAAGTATATAATATATCATAGTTGTATAATTTACACGAAACAAGTAATACGATAGATTTTAAATACTCGAATTTATCTTTATTTTTTTACATTTTATTATTTTAATTTTTCAATTCAGTGTCTAGAGGATCTAGTGCTTAACCGCGGCGGTTCCTTCGGTTGTTGGCCTTCCTTTGAGCCTTCCTTTGAGCCTGGCGTCTTTCGCGACGCTCCTGCCTACGCTCCTTACGTGCCTTGCGTTCCCTACGTTCCTTACGACGCTCCTTGCGCTTCTTGGCGGCACTAGAGGACGAAGAGGACTTGTCGGAGGAGCTGGTGGAGGAGGAGGAGGAAGGAGTGGAGGATGTGGAAGGAGAGGAGTCTGTGGAGGATGTGGAAGGAGTGGAAGATGTGGAAGGAGTCGTTGAAGTAGAGTTGGAGGACGAAGACGTGGAAGAAGGAGTAGAGGATGTGGAAGACGATGGGGTTGAGCTTGAGCTTGAGCTTGGAGTCGAAGAAGAACTTGAACTTGGGGTTGAAGTTGAACTGGAACTTGAAGACGTGTCTGTCGACGAAGACGCAGGAGTCGTGGCACCGGGAACCTCAACAACCAACAGAGTCGTGAGGCACAAAGCCAAAAGTATCTTGAAATTCATCTTGTTTAGTGGAGTTTGGCAAACTGTGACTATTCTGCTGGCAGCTTGGGGTTTTATAGGAAAATCGGAGCTATCTAATTGCGGAGGCTGTGTTTGCTTATCTCTCTCTTATTATTTGTCTACATACAAATGTCAGGTGTCTTAAACAAACATACTCCTCTATAACCCGAAGACGGGATCGTGGCGAAGGTCTGACATGTTTTTTGGAAAAGTTCCACATCGGATATATTCGGAACAAAAGATATGTACAATTAGGTGTGAAGGCGTAAAAGAATTATGCGTTATTGTGGAGAAATTAAAGCAAACAGACCACACGCTTATTACCAATAGCTCTGCTTTTTGTTTAACTTTTTTTGCTTTTGTTTAATGAACTGTTTTAGAAGTTCTTATTTTGTTTTGTAGCTAATTTTAAACAAAAAAAAAATAATACATTGTGGTAGGAGAATAGAGAACTGCTCAATCATCTCAAAGGCTATCCGTTTAAATTCAATCTAGCTCCTTGTTAAGCATATCCTTGTATATGCACATCAAGTATCCCTGACCATATTCACAATTTGCCATGACTTTGCAAAAATTTATCGCTTATGGCATCAACAACTGTTGCCCACATTTAAATTTTTGTGCTGGGCTATATTTATCAGACGACGCCGCATGACGCTCATTATTTTTCCGCCCACGCTCCCGAGCTCCCGAGCAGGATTCCCTACGTTTCCTTCCCTTTAATCTGCCAAATCCCAGCATGGATGGGGAAACCCCTGGAAAAGCCCTCGGGGCCGAGGCACAATTTGTGCTGAAATATAATGAAAATGGGTGAATATATACAAAAACATTTTGTGTTAAATATTTTACATGCTACGCCTGTTGAAAACTTGTCCAACATCCTTTGTCTTGTAGCACGTGGAAACTTTGATTTTTTTGGGTCAAGTTTTTGGTTTTGTTTTGTCTTAATTACACTGTGAAAAATATGTCTATTGGTGATATTATGTAGATAAGATATATAATTCCTTTTACTACTATTTAAAGTGTTAAGATATTATTTTTAATTTTAGCGTTTAATTTCTAAAATATCTTGAACCATCTGGCAGTGATTTCTTAAATTCAAATTGTCAACTTTTTTCAAGCGTTTGGCCCAATTGTGTCTTTCATGGCCCAAAGACAAGGGCCGGGATTTGGCCAAAAGGAAAAGGAAAACGTGAAACCGAGATGAAAGTAACGGCAATATCATGTATGGCCAAAATCCTCAGTCAGCTTTTTTTTTCTTGGCAACTTGGCTGCGTTTTTTGTTGTTTTGACTTCATGTTGGGACATTTACAAATTATGCCTCTCCTGCCTGGAAAATATCCTGAAGCGTTCACTTGTTGGTCTCGGCCTGGCCGAATCGATGGCTGCCGTTTCTCTTTTTGGCCAGAGTGTCTGGTCCACTCCGAACACTCTGGTTCAAACAGTTCACATGTCAGACCGGCAAATTGAGTGACAATGGAGCGGTCGATGCCGCCTTTTATTATTTTTTCTTTTTTAATTCAAACGTATTTCTGACCTTGATTTGTGTTACCTTCAAGTTCATTCTCGACTTTGAAGTTTCTAATAAAATAATGATTATAAGTGTTATGGGTATACGAAAGCTGGCTTATAAACTTTAAAGAAAAGTTATTTGATAGAAATTCCTGCTCTGATTCTGCTTAAAAGCAAAATATAACAATTAAGTCTCATAATATGTGCCATTTCTACCCACTAAGTACTCTTAGGATCTCGTCATCTGGCAATTGCATGGTTAACATATTCAGAAACTGCCACAACACCACACTCTTAGCCTGCACCCTACACCCCATATTCCACTTAAAGTCAGTCAACAATCGGGGCCAAGTGCCTTTGGCTTCAGTTCCTGCTCCTCCATTGAAACTGCAATTGAGGCGAGTCCGCCCCGCTCCCGCCCACTAACACATGATGGCAATTTGCTCGACATAACAAGCAGCCGACCAGGGGCGCCGAAAAGTGGATGGGGCTGGCGGGGGAGTATGGTAACTAGTCGCTTATTACCCCGTTCATTAATTTCCATTGCAAATGTTTTGCCTGACTGGCTCGAAACGGCATCAGCCCATCATCACAGGCAGCATTAACACCGCCAGCAAATTGGGTTAATTACCATTGTGTATGACATTTTGCCATTTTGTGCACTGACCCCATCCTCGCACACACTCGCCCTTTGACCCCTGTTAGAGACGCAGTTAATATATAATACTATATAAAAATCGCACACCATCAAATGCAGCAATTTGCATAAACTTTATCCACGTATCGCCGTCTTCGTCGTCGTCTGGGGCTGTAAAAACAAATGCCACGGCAAATTGGTAAATTTATAAGAAACCTTCACACAAAAAAAAGGGGTTAAGAAATGGGGGAAAAGCAGTCAAGTTATGGCATTTTTATGAAGTCAGCTTCCAGACCGAAAGCAATTACTCCAAGTTTGAGTTTTATTGGTGGCTCAGTGCTGAGACGAGTCTGAGACTGCAGGCTCATCTTTCATATGGGGACTGATTCATGGGCGTAGTTAGCATGTCTGTCGGTTTAAGCCCCGGTCCCCTTGATGCCTAACCCTGTAAGCCCATCGCTAAGTGCCTGTCTATGATGTCGGCTGCTCGCGTCTGCCAATATGTTTGGTCTTAGCCAAAAGAAAAGCGAACTGACAAGTTTACGACCCCAGATCAATGAGGCATTTTTCTCAAGCCTCCCGAAAACAGAAATAAATGCTGAATAGACGACCTTGAGGTAGGTTTGAGAAGAGGGCTCCCATGCTTCGTGAAAGAAATTCAATGTCTGGAATCGTAAATAAGACATTCGAATAAACATGAATTGAGAATTGAATTCACTTAAGTTTGAGCTTAAAAAACATTGAAAGTTATGAATATTTGCTGTAAATATGTGTGTAATAAACTAAACAATCTGTTCTGTGTTTGACTATAACTACTTGTTTGTTTGTTCTTTTTTAATAAAACACTTCAAATACGTAGGATAGACAAGCATGTTTCTGGTAATTGTTTACTTTTGCAGGTTCTAACCTCATTCGAAAAACCTTTGTTTCTTTTCTCCACCAAATGTCATAAAAACACACATACTTTCTATTTCGCTCCAGGCCACTCCTCTCAAAATCTGTTTATACAGAATATTTTCCATTAAATTTAAGTCTTTTTTCGGTTGGCTTTTGGAGTAAGATGCCTTGGGCAAAAGCTGGAAAATATTGTTGACCTATTTCGCGTTTTGTTTTACTTTATTCTGGGCCCTGTTTGGATTGTTGTTACTAAGCTCCATCAAGTTGCTCGATGTTTGTGCACTTTTTGCCAACATCCTTTGACTGATTTGCTTGCATATTTGATGCCAGGCGCAAAAAGCAGCAGCATCAAATCCCGTTATGCATGTCACAACCCGACTGCCAGAATGGCAGGACAATGTAGTCCTGCGACAAAGCAGGAAAAAAACTACAAAAATAATCTACAACATCGAATAATAAAACCGTACAGGGAACGGAATATACAGTGCCATTGTGGGAGCCCTACGATTCGTCCCTTGCTATTTTGTTCCAAGACCCCTGGGGGCCCAACTCTCTATTGATGTTGATTTAGACCAATGTCTGTCTAAGTTTCGAGTCCCTGGGAGTGCCCCTCAATAATTCCTTGACTTGTTTGGCTTTATTCAGGCAGCAGGACAAAAGCGGATTTCATTTCAATATTTTCGTGGATATTTGAAAAATGTCCCTTGAAAAGGAACTTTTGTCTCAAACTACACCTTTCCTGGAAACTTTAAAGTGTGTGCTTAAAAAAATATGTTTGGGATAGAAGCAAACACTAATTTAATATGAATTCACACATATTTTTCCGCCTAAACACACATAATAACTTTCCAGGAAGGGAGGCAAAAAAAAAGGTTTCATCAACATGACTCTATAAATAAATAGAAAGTTAATGTTAGGCGTGTTGCTAAGACAATATATATATTGTCGAACCTTTTAGCCTTAGCTCCGCTTAGGCTACCATTTAATTTTTTTTCTGGCCATCCCAACATTCCCCATATTCAGTTCTCATTAAGTATGCTTGCCTGACTGCCAGGACAAAAGCCAGGAAACCCAAAGAGAAACCCACTTCCCTGGAAGAAATTCACCTAGGAACCTCAACCTTCCCGCCCAATTTCTTATAAACGCTCCTTTTTATCGTTTAAATTTTCCTTTGGCCTATCATGAATTTGTGTAAAATGTTAAGAACATCCTCAGAATCCTCCTGCCTGACTTCTATTTGGATTGAGGAGGGAGACCCTTCGCTTATAAAGTAATTTGTTGGCTTGGCTTAAATTGATTTGCCAGTAAGTTGATTTTTATTGATTTTAATCAATGAACAGTTCGAATTCAGATTGCAAATCAGAGAGTCGGCGGCCGCACTTGGCAAAATATTTGATTATTGGACAAGTCAATCCAGGACACTTGGTGACCAATTCAAATTAAAGTTTGTCACACAACATCCAGCCAAAAGTAAACGGCCAAATGGAGCGTGTCATTTGAATGGTTTTATGGTGGCTTTCATGCCCAATTCTTGTTTTTCTAAGAGTATGCCCAGACTCTGGTGGATAGTCGCATCATAACAACGAAGAATCACTCTCTCCGAAGGAAAGTATTGACGATGACATATTGTTTTGCTATCACTATGCTATATGTTTTGCTTATTATGCTATCTTATATCAATATTCAATTCAAAAATTACAAAATATAATTCAAAAACTAAAAGAAAAGTGATAGAAAAGTATTTTATATACATTTAAGAAAGATAATTGATTTTGCTCCGGTTTTGCGAATGATTTGTTCCGGTTGAGCTTAGATTAGATTTAGTTAGCTGATTTAAAATTTATTCATATTCACAGTTCTTCCATAATAATGGAGCTGCGGACACATTGGATCTTATTGTTTTTTCTTGTTAATTGTCAACTGTTTCGTAAATCATACGGACAGGATATGAGCCAAACAAGGGGTTGGCCAAAACCATTT